AAAAAAAAAAAAAAAAAAAAAAAAAAAAAAAAAAAAAAAAAAAAAAAAAAAAAAAAAAAAAAAAAAAAAAAAAAAAAAAAAAAAAAAAAAAAAAAAAAAAAATATATATATATATATATATATATATATATATATATATATATATATATATATATATATATAGATAGATAGATAGATAGATAGATTTACTTTATTGATGCACAAAGGAGAACTGTGGGCACTACAGTAACATTTATCCAAATTATCCAGTCAACCAGTTGCACAATGCATAAAATCATGCAGATACAGGTCAAGAGCTTCAGCTAATGTCAAGTCAGGTCTATTGAATTTTACCGTCATTCCTCTATACAGCTAGTATACATCAGAACGAAATGTCATTTCTCCATTACCATGATGCAACACAGAACAGTACGCAATACTACATAAACCGCACTACACACCAGTGTGAGACGGGTGAGACAATAAATACACAAAACAGAACAACAGACACACAGGACAGTAAATACACAGGGCTGTAAACTGTAAACTATTTTGTAGTGTCACAGCAATAAGTATAGCAGCAGTTTCATAATAAAAGTGACTGATGCAGATTTGTAAGGTGCAGGTGTGCAATGTTTTTGAGCCATACTGGGTTAGATGATTGACTAGCCCAGGTGAGTGTTGGGAGACAGCAGGGTGTTGAGTAATCTGACTGCCTCAGGGAAGAAACTGTTGCGGAGTCTGCTGGTGGTGGCACGGATGCTCCTGTACCTTGCCAGATGGCACGAGGGTGATGAGTCCATGAGAGGGGCGAGGGGGTCATCTGCAATGCTGGTGGCTTTGTGGATGCAGCAGTTGTTGTATGAGGCATTGATGGTGGGCAGAGAGATTCTTTTTTCAGCTGTTCTCACAATGTGCTATAGGGTCTTGCGGTCAGAGGCCGTGCAGTTCCCGTACCACACAGTGAGAGAGCTGGTCCGGATGCTCTCTATCTTCCCTCTGTATAATGTGGTGAGGATGGCAGAGGGGAGTTTGGCTCTCTTCAGCCTCCGTAGGAAGTGGAGGCACTGCTGGGCCTTTTCAGCTACGCAGGTGGTGTTAAGAGTCCAGGAGAGGTCCTCTGTCATGTGCACACCAAGAAACGTGGAGCTTTTGACTCTCTCCACAGTTGATGTGCAGTGGTGAGTGGTCTACCTGGGTCCTCCTGAAGTCAACAATCATTTCTTTATCTTATCAACATTAAGAGATAGATTGTTGTCTCCACACAATTCTGTGAGCTAGTTCACCTCTTCTCCATATGTTGACTCATCATTGTTGCTGATTAGGCTCACAAATGTATTGTCATCAGCAAACTTGATGATGTGATTTGAACTGTACTTTGCAGCACAGTAATGAGCCAGCAGGGTAAACAGCGGTGGACTGAGCACACAGCCCTGGAGAACACCGGTGTTCAGTGTTGTGGTGCTGAAGGTGAAATTGCCGATCCTGATGGACTAGGGTCTCCCAGTGAAAAAGTCCAGAATCCAGTTGCAGAGGAAAGTGTTCAAACCCAGCAGGTTCAGCTTTGTAAATCAGTTTCAGTGGGATGATTGTGTTGATTGCTGAAGTGATATCTATGAACAGCATCAAACATCAGAACAGTGAAAAATGTGACCTCAGCAGCTATGACATGGTTGTTGGTGCCAGACGGACTCATCAGAAACTGCTGATCTCCTGAGATTTTCATGCACAACAGTCTCTAGAGTTTACACAGAATGGTGTGAAAAAAAAATCTAATGAGTGGCAGTTCTGCAGGTGGAAATGCCTTGTTGATGAGAGGGGTCAGAGGAGAATGGCCAGACTGGTTCGAGCTGACAGGAAGGCTACAGTAACTGAACTAACCACAATTTAAAACCATGGCGAGCAGAAAAGCATCTCAGAATTCACAACACAAAGAATACTGAGGCAGATGGGCTACAGCAGAAGATCATTTCGGGTTCCACTCCTGTCAGCCAAGAACCAGAATCTGAGGCTACAGTGGACACAGGATCACAGAAACTGGACACTGTTTCACTGGAAAAAGACCAGGTGATATTTTTCTATATTGATCTATAGTGATCTATATTCTACAGGATCATATAGTTATTACTTAACAGTTTTCTAGTCATGCTAAGTCAATCTTAATGTATAAGCCAAACTTACACATTGTTATTAATCATAATGATTATACTTTACACTCAATCAGCAGGTACACATATGGTACCCACTAGTGTTAAAACAAGCATGCACTCTGCACATACACATTCATGATTGTTCCAGCATTTTTCAGTAGCAAGGTTTATTGCCCTATTTCTTTTTTTTCTTCATAAAGTCACACTACAGAGAAACAGCACAGTGCTCCAAAAATTCTGTTTAATTTCACATGTATCTATCTGGCAGACATTCTTATCCAATAGCAAGGCAGAGTTCAATTTAAGCATATAGCTTATTAGTTTAGGACCTTTCCCAAAGATCCAACAGTGTCCTTCACAGCCAAAATACTGTGAGAACTTCGCAGATACTCACAGAGTCTCTGCCGCCATTAAGTGCTAGTTCACTGAGTAACCTGCAGCCTATAGCTTCAGAAAACCTTTTTCTTGCCTTCATAACCATGTGTGTAGATGAGCAATTCATCAATGTGGATCTTGAGGATGTGGGATACAGTGGTAGAGAAAAAATAAAAGTGACAACAGCCAAAACACCCTCTCTATACACCTTTTAATATTTATTACATGGACCGTTAGCTCCAGATGGCATCTTGCTTATGCCATGGCTGCTCTGGATTTCAACTAACACTGAAATACCTCCTGGTGCCAAACATACCACACTTTACATTAATGAGGCCCACATTCAATAATGTAAAGTGATCCCCGTAAAGAAACAATCTGATCACTACCTCATTTCATTCTAAATGTGACTTAGTCATGACAAACGATTTGTCTAGCTACTGCATCAAACATACAATAATGCTGGCTGCTGTATACAGCTTTATTGAAAATATCCCAGATTTACTGACTTTGATTGGCTTGCCCTCTGACCTCACAAAACTCATGCAGTGATTGAATGCTCAGATTTAAAAGAAACAGTTAGGGGGAAATGGCAGCACCCTGGTATACTCATCACACTCTCACACAAACCACTCAAAATCAAAACATAAATGGTGTTAAACTCAACTGGTGATGTTCCAAATTGCATGGAAAGAGAGCTTTCTTAACTATAGCAAGGCTCTTATTGCTGCTAGATCAGCAAATGTCACGACTCTAATAGAAGACAACAAAAAATGATCCTAGATTCTTATATAAATAGGTTAACTAGCTACAGAAAAAGCACAAATACCAATAGTAGTAGTAGTTATTGTCTCCTTTTCAGTGTTAGATATTTTTTAAATAAATAAAAATGTATTTTTTAAATATAAAAAAATTATTTTTTTATGCATTTTTGTGATACATATCACCAAACAGTTTTTTTAAAAGCAGATCATCATGTATATCAAATATCAAATATCATGATATATCGTAGAAAAGCCTTTGAGAATCAAGATACGATTTTTTGTTATTTCACCTACTCCAAAGTCAGACAATTTGATAAGTAGTTGTGTAGAGCATTTAAAAATCCTTTACCCAATCCAACGGACTGAATTAATTTTACAGATTTCCTTCAGCTTGACTTCACCTGATACCTACACATTTTCTTAAACAAATATTACCAGAAGTAATCCTTTGAAAAAAAATATTAAACACTTCCCTTAGCATTGGATATGTACCAAAATCTTTTATATTGGCAGTTATAAAACCTCTGGTTAAAAAAAACCCTGACCCTTGCCAGCTGTCAAACTATAGGCCAGTATCATGGAAAAGGTTGAAACTCAGCAATTAAGCTCATACTTGTATAGGAATCACATACACTGCCCTCCAAAAGTTTGGAAACGCCTGAACAAAATAGGGTTTTTGGGCAATATCAGCATAAATCCTCTTTAGTTAGTGACCATTTTGCATTGATAATAAGGGACAACACAAACTATGAAAACATATTTTATTAAATAAAAAGTTTATGAACATAAACATGAACATAACATAGAAAAATACTCAAATT